AAAGCTTAAATTATATACATACATACATATGTATTACTAATAAAAATATTGTATGGGGGAAAAATCTGTCACGTCCGTTTGCAAATTTTAATTAAAAATTAAATCAACAACGAATTGCTTCTGATTAAAAATGAATTGGTTGTAATGGTCCGTAATTTGACTTTATTTAAAGAATGCTTATGAAAGGAAAACCTGACGGTATTCGCAGAGCTTTTCCTATTTTTACATGTACTCTGAAACCGTTAACCTCCATAATGTCAGGTTCGAGGCCATCAATAGGACCAAAAATTTATTCGCATTCAGCGTGGCCAATAACATAGACATATGTATATAGGGTTGGTTTAATATGCATACACTTTTTGTTTTTTTATAGACGCTTCCCTCCTATTACATTAATACAGGGACCAAATCAGGGAATCCGTGATTGAACTAAATTGTATACGAAATTTCTTTTTGGGCATTCGATAGGAGCACGCTTTTTCGATTAAAATTGAATACAAGAAAAAAACAGCTGTCATTTTATAGGTTTATGTATAGGTTTTTTGTTGAATAATTTATTTGCGTGAAATACATTTTTGTTGTTTTATATAAAAATAATAGCAGGAGTACAAAAACCAAAAAGTACACTAAACAATTTTACGCACAATGCCCGTAAAGATTACAGAATCACTTTGACATTAAAAGCCACCGAGTCGAAAATCCATCTGCTCTGGTAACACAATATTTTATGAATTCGCAATGTTTTATCGTAATTAGTAAAAACTATCTGATATTGTTTCTTTTAAAATATCAACCAACTTCCACCATTTTTTGTAAGTAAAATCTACCAATATAAATTTTTTCGAAGTCCGTGCACTGGAGTTTTCCACGTATTTTATATGGGGAAAAACAACTTTTCGTATAAATGGTATAGAATGCTTGAAAATCAATAATTTATCGATCGGAAAGCTCAGTTTCCCTCAGATTCTCAATAATAATACGCAATGTTTTCTTCAACCATTTTTTCATTGTAACTATATTTTATAGGTCCGCCGAAACCGCCAGAAAATGCAATAAGAGGACGAATAAAAAATCTTTAGTATTAAAAAATGGTTAAATAAAGAATTATATATTAATACCGGAAGTCTCCTGAAGAGAACTAGAGTTTTCCGATCGAAAAATATCGATTTTCAAGAATTCTATACCATTTCTACGAAAAGTTTTTTTTTCCGCATATAAAATACATGGAAAACTTTGTGCACTTTCAGCACTCCCTAAATATTTTTTGATTTCAAAATGAAAAAATTGGAATATATATTTTTTTCCGTATAAAACAATCCTAGGCGGTGGCGGCATTAAAATTCCGACTTTACTGTTTTTTGACCACTCTAAAGTACATACATACATGGCGTATGAGTAACATTCTTTCCATACTATTCATACTATGTTCATACTATTTCATAAACAAATTACGTATTTTCCTTTAACCATTCACAAATTTTTATTTATCTATAGTTAGTAGCTTGATTTTTTTGTAAAAGGCCTTAATACAAACGAAAAAAAAATTTACAATAAATCTGTTATTTTTTAATTGTTTATCTGTAAAAATTGGATTTTTTCCATAAAAATCAAAATATCTTGGGAAAATGACTTGATCTAGAAAATCATGATACAATAATTTTTAGAAGGTAGTTTCACTTCAATTTTTTTTACATAAAGCGTGTCTGTGACAAACACGCACAAACAAACTACTCCGATATAGTACTTGGGGATTTTCGCTTGTTATTTTAGATATTTTTTAATAGAACATGTAAAGATTTATATGTTTCATAATGATCACTTCATTTTTAATATACATACGTATACGTATTTAATACATACTTTTTTGCCACTGCTAATCACGTGAATAAAAATCATAAAAATGAAAATATAACGGCAATATTTCTTGTTTAAAATGTTTTAGATCCATTGCTCACCACAGACTTTATCGGCCGCCGATTTAGTTGGGCTCGCTATTCTTTTCATTGCACCACAACTAATTGGTCGGAGCGAATAAGCTAGTGTAGTGCGCGCACCTCCATACATCTTCATGTACATATTTCAAGCTACTATTTAAATAGGCGGCCGATAAAGTCTGTGGTGTGCGGTGGATATTATAGCTGTATCCTTACATCTATTTCGTGTGTTGCAATATCCACGGAAGCAGCAGTTAATTTTTTATTTCGGCTTTCCTTTTTTTATTTTTCCAACGTCAAAAGATGGATTTTTTTTTTTTTGAAAAAGTTGGTACAACAAAAAATACGAAACACGTTTACTGTCAGATAGCTAACATGGCGGATAAGAATAAGTAGTGAAACTACCTTCTAAAAATTATTGTATCATGTAGAAAACAATACAAATTCGTAATCAATGACTCAAAATTAAGTTTCGAGTCATTCCATATGAAAACGTCTGAAAATCCAAAAAATCGTCGCGTACAAATCCAAAATCAGTTTTTCTTGTTGAGATCAAATCCTTATATTTTTAATTATTTAGAGTATACAACTTTTTTAAATTATGAGAGTGTTTCTGGTAACTTTACAATTTTAAGGCCAGGTAAAAAACCTGGAGAAGCACCGGTAAGCAGGATCAGAGGATTGCTTTATGTAAATGGTAAAGTCAAATTGAAGTTGCGCCATACCGACTGCTGGACATCATTGCCACAAAAACGACCTCTGTTATTATAGCAATACGAAACGGAAATATTGTACGATGGTCCAAAAAATTTATCAATCTAAACACAACAGCCTTCAAACTTTAAAGCAATATATAAACAAAGATTTCCATTCGTTTTATGATAATCTACCTCAATAAATATTTAGTTTTACATTTTTATGAAATTTACTAAGTTATGCAAATTTGCTTAATGTATACAAATGTGAAAGCATTTAATAAAAATTCAATTATATTTATATTGAAATTATTTCTTGTATATACGAGCTTTCAGTGGATAACACCCATCGAAACTTTGAAAAAGCCATTGGGTCAAGTTAAAATGCTGACCGAAGAAAATAGTTCTCATCTCTGGCAATTTCATGGTTTATACAAAATATGTGTCCACTCACCACTTTGCATTAATTTTTATTACAAAAATCCAATAAAATCGTTTCTGACCATTTTTCATTACATAACAGGAGCAACGGGCAGTTAACTAATCTAGGCCACACCGCAGTATTTTGTACAAATTGCATACCGCCAAAAGCAAATTTAAATCGTGTATAAAAACAACTATGTGCTTTAAAGCGGCGCAAATGTTGATCACGTCGCAATTGAAAAGAAAAATTTGATTTTTTTTCATTAATCAATTACATATTTTTAATATATTTTTTTTTAATACGACATTTGCAAAATATTGCCTATTGGCACCAGTAATCAGTTTTTTTGCTCTCCTGAAAAGCTATTAAAAAACACATTGCTGTTTTTGTTGGCGCAGCGCCGATATGTACTTGAACACACCCACTGAAAGCAAGACTTTTAAAGTATGTACTTTGTCTGCGCTTGAATTTTTACCGCGTATTCATCTACATTTTTCCACAGCGAGGTACAATTTACGCGATTGTAATGTTATAAACAGGGAACGGATTTTTAGGACCTAAAAACCTATAAAAAATGCAAAATAAAATAAGTAAATAGGCTGAAAAAGGCAAAATAAAATAGCTAAAAAGGCACTAGGTATTGCAAAAAAGGCAAAAAAAGCCAAAACAAAATAGCGAAAAAGGCAGCAAAAGGCACTAGGTATTGCAAAAAAAGCAAAATAAGGCACTAAAAAAGACATAAAATACGAAGACCCATCAAAAAATACATTTATTTTAGAAATGTTTATATTACAAGTAAAACTATGAACTAGTTTCATTATATGAAAAAATTGTACTTTGACTATTTTATCCTTTCGAGTTTCTAACTCATAAAACTTTAATCTCTATAGATGTAGTAACATTGAACCACAAGATGCATTTTGAAGTTTTCTGGCAGCATTTTCAATCGATTTTCGCGAAGAAAAGCCTTGAATGTACTAAATGTGCGCTTGACGTAAGTTGATACAAGTGGAGCCCAATTTAAATATGGAACGTTTGAAACGTTCATAATATCAGGAATAAGGGCGTTTTCCTCGCCCTTTTCAATTTTATCCACACCCGTTAGCTGAGAAAAGGGCTTTGCATTTTTCCAACACCAATTTGGCAAGAGGTCCCTGCGCTTCTATAAGCCGCATGGGTATGTGTATATTTTTTAATCTTAAAAAAAAATTGTATATGCTATAATCACTTTTTTAAAGGTAGAAAAGGCAAAAAAGGCAAATATCTTAAAATAGGCAAAAAAAAGGCAACATCAAATATGTATATATGGAATCAGGCAAAGCTAAATCGTGGACATTCTTAATCAGATATACTCTATCTATTTAGCAGAAAAAAGGCAATTTCCATAAAATCCGTTCCCTGGTTATAAATAACACAAAATCAAA